ATACTGCCCTTCTGATCTTCCGTGGTTGATTGTTCTAAGGAGTGTACCTACCTGGTGTAAATGTTCACCTTATATTCCTACCTATTTGGCTGCAAGCCATGGAAGTGAGTTCAATTACAGGCCCAAAGGGTGACTAAGGGCCACAGTCTTGGGTGTTTCATCAGTCTCCATCAGACCAGTAAACCTGGTCTTTTTTATGATTTTGAGTTTTGTTTCACATTGTTCTACCACTCTCTCTATCCAGGATCTCTTGCACTGATTCCTTTCTGAGTGGTTGACAGTGGTAGCTGGGCACCATTTAGTTGTTTTGGTCTCAGGATCATGTAGGGTGAGGTTTGCAAGATTCACTAGTCTCTTGGACTAATTGTTTCCATGCATCCTTGATTTTCTTCATTCTTTGCTCCTGATGAGGAGACATCTATTGTTGCATCTTAGATGGCCACTTGCAAGCTTTTAAGACCCCAGTCACTACTCACCAAAGTAAGATGTAGAACAATGTTTTTATGTGGTACGTTAGACCAATTGCCGTAGCTCATTTCTTTTATGTCATATTCCTGAATCAGTTTTAAAAACTAGGTATCTAAGCATTAATCCTATGTTGTTCTTTTTGCTTTTTTTCAACTTTATTGAGATATAATTCACATACTATATAATTAATCAATTTAAAGTATACAACTCAATTGTTTTTAGTATGCTCACAGAGTTGCACAACCATCACCAAAATCAGTTTTAGAACATTTCTATCACCTTAAAAAGAAATTGCTTAACAAGAGTTCTCTGTATCCTCTTTTTCACCTGTAAAATGAGATCAATATTTTCCTTACTTCATAAGATTGCTGTGAGGATTACATGAAAAAATGTGAGCTATGAGTTTAGCACCAAACATGCAACTTTTTTTTTTCTGAAGAAAAAATGATGTATTTATTCATTGTTTCTTAATTGTATTTGCAGATCTGAGTTACTTATATTTTACAGTTCTGTTTTTTAAAAATTGTGGTAGTTACATATGTAACAAAACATCTGTTATTTCAGCATTCTTCACATGTGCAATTCCATGGCATTAATTATGCTTATCACGTTATACAACCATCACCATTATCTATTTCCAAAAATTTCCACCTGTACCTGTTAAACAATACCTCCCAACTTTTCCCCTCCCACCTACTCCTAATAATCACTAATAAAGTTTGGTTTCTATGAGTTTGTCTATTCTAGATAATTCATATAAGTGGGATTATATAAGATTTATCCTTTTGTGTATGACTTATTTAACTTAGTATGATGTTTTCAAGGTTCATCTATGTTGTAGCATGTATCAGAACTTCATTTCTCTTTATGACTGAATGATATTCCGTTGTAAATACATATCACAATTTGTTTATCCATTCATCTATTAATGGACATTTGAGTTGTTTCCACCTTTTGACTATCATGAATAGTGCTGTGATGATCATTGGTATACAAGCATTTATTTGAGTCCCTGTTTTCAGTCTTTGGGGGGTATATACCTAGGAGTATAAATGCTGGGTCATATGGTAATGCTATGTTTAACTTTTTGAGGAACTAACAAACTATTTTCCACACCATCAACCTGTTTCTTGTTCTAAGGATGGGAATGATGACTTCCGAACTCTTTACACGTTGGAGCTTAAACTGGAAGTTACTACTATCAGTTCTTGGTCCCTGAATTTCCATTAGATTTTGTTTTTAAAACAAAAAATCCAGATAGAAGTTATTGGGTGAAATTCTCCATCATCTTCTCACCTTGAACCTATTAATAACTATTATTTTAAAGTCTATGCCTGATACTTCCAATAGCCTTAATCACATGTAGGTCTATTGGCTTTATTTTTCTTATTTTTTTCCCTCCTGTTTATCTTGTCTTTTGCTATGATGATAACTTTTGTTTGAATGCTGGCCATTACGTATGAAAAACAAGTCTAGATGATTTTTTTTTTTTTAAATTCAGAGAGGAATTTTTTTTAGCTTTGGGAAGACAATATAGTAAATTCCTTTAAACTAGTCAAGGCTGGCGGTTCAAACCCACCAGCCACTCCTCGGAAGGAAGGTTGGGCAATCCTACTTCCGTAGTGATACTGCCTCGGAAACCCAAGGAGGGGTCACTATGAGTCGGGGCCGACTCGACGGCACATAACAACATAACAAGTCAAGAATTGAATCCATTTGAGGTTGGATTTCAGTCTTTGTCATACCTGCTCTGTTTCCAGTTCACCTTTATTCCTGGATGTAATCCTTCAGGGGTTCTAACTAACAATCTGGGTATTTATTAGAATTCCCAACCTTTAAAGGTCTCAAACTCCAATTTTTATCTTTCCAGAACTGTGAGGCTTCCAATAACTTTTCTTATGTTCCCAGCCTCTTCATCACCTCTTTCTACTTGGCTTCTTTGTTTCTAGCTCTATACCTTGGTGTATTGATCAAGGAAAAAAGCAGCTCAGACTGCTGACCTCACTTCTTTGTAGTTCCCTTCTTTCCAGATCCTTGGCTCCTCAAAAGGAGCCCCAGTGATATAGTGGTTAAAGCACTTGGCTGCTAACTGAAAAGTTGGTGATTTGAATCCACCTGCCCCTCCGCCAACCCAACCACATCACCCACCTAGCCAACCTACAAGAGAAAAATGTGGCAGTCTGCTTCTGTAAAGCTTTACAACCTTGGAAACCCTATGAGACAGTTCTAGTCTGTCTTCCAGGGTTCCTACGAGAGAGAATGGACAGTCCTGGCTGTCTTGATAGGCCTGAATTCTAGATTTTGTATCCTCAGTCATGAAAAGCTACTGAAAGATCAACTTTCCTGACTCTTAGCAGCTTCTTTTTCCCTCAGCCTCTCTTCTCCTGTTAATTATGAATTGGTAAATGCCTCAAGGGGAAAATGTCAAATGTCAGTTTCACGTCACTGAATTTCCCTCCTCTCCAGAATCTTGACCTCTCAATTTCTGGCTGCTCTGGTAGCTGTCCAATGTCTCTGAAGAACTTATTTTTTACTATTTTCAGATTTTCTTGTCCTCCTCTGCAGGAGCATTGATCTTCTTTCTACAAGTAGTTCATTATAGCCAGAAGCAGATCATCCTCCACCACTTTGATATGTAATATTTTCATTACCCTTCCATTCAAAATTTTCCTGATTTTAATTATGATTTCTTCTTTGACGCATGGTTTATTTAGAAATATATTTCTTAATTTCCAAAATATGAGAGTTTTCTAGTTATATTTTTGTTATTGACTTTTACTTAATTGCACTATGGATAAAGTAGTAGGATTCCAATATTTTGAAATTTGTTAAAATTTGCTTTATGGCTCAGAAGATGATTAATTTTTATAACCATTCCCTATATGTGTCTTTAAGGAGCTCTGGTGGTTTAGTGGATAAGGCATTTGGCTGCTAACCAGAAGGTCAGCAGTTCAAACCCACCAGCTGCCCCGTGGAAGGACGATAGCATGATCTACTTCTGTAAAGATTTACAGCCTCAGAAACTCAATAGGGTCGTTATGAGTCAAAATCAACTCAATGGCAGAGAGTTTGGTTTACATGTGTCTTTCGTAGTTATTGAGTGTAGTTTTGCTTGCTGAGAATTAGGATTGTTTCCAGTTAGAGGCCATTATGAATAGTGTTGCTATTAACATTCTTAGACGTGTCTTTTGGTGAACATATTCGTTCAGTTCTGTTGAGTACAAGGTCAAAATTTGGATGTAGTTTTAGTCTGAAGACAAAATTAGGTTTTAGAGCCTGAACTGTACTGAACTCAGCAAAGTAAATACTACCTTATGGGGGTGTGTCTTGGAAGCCAGTTGGTCTTAACCTAAGAGAGAGCTCTGTTCATCTCTATGTCCCATTGACCTTAACATTTGAAACTGCAGCTAGGATGTATTTTGCCTTAAATCATATTCTCAGAAATAACCAATGCTGACACTTTGACAAACATATACAATCTTTTTTTTTTTTTTT